AAGCAGTGCTGATCAAATATGAGTCAAGATTCTGTTACTGCATTGCCCTTTTCTCACCTCCATGTCTTCAGAAACATATTTTAGTGTACCATTTAGCTGTGAAATGAGAAGGTTGGTCCGACTAATGGGTGGTGCTTCATACTCACGCTTAATTGTATCCAACATGGTGGCCGGGTTAATATAGCATAGACTAAAAATAATGGACACAGCTTTTGGGTCCCCATTGGTTTGTGGACTCCCATTATGAAGCCTCGAGTTTGGCATAATGGCCATCACCATCTTGGTTTCATCTTGGTTCTCTAGGGGTGGCCAAGGACAATATCAGGGCCTGTTTCTCAAAGTGGCCCGCCTTTAATTATGTGGAACTTTCAGCCTTAATAAAATGTAAAATTGAGTTATATAAAAATTCTACCCCTGCACAGTTGTCATGAATATTGAAATCAGCTGTAAAGATCAAAACTGTTTTTTTGTACCAGGCTGAACATGTTTTTTTCTGCTGTAAAGTTAGCCATTTTAACATGGGGGTCTATGGGGTTTGACTGGCTACAGGTGCCAGCCTTAAGTGGTCATTCAAAGAACTAGAGTTTTTGGCACTTCAGTGTTGGCTTAATTTTTTAGCCCCTGAGGTTGTCGCTTGGAATACAGTGGAAATTTCAGCAAATATGAAAAAAAGTTATTTTTATTATAAAATTTACCAACTGTAGCTTCAAGGTGGAGCTAACTCAAACTATCTTAGATACTTGTGGTTTGTTAGATTTACTATATAATAATGATTCACAATTTATATGCTCATTTTAGGCTTCTGTAACCTTGAGTGAACAAAGTAAGTAGGACCTATAGCTGTCAGATAAGTAAAAACTACAACATTTCCCTCTGAAATGTAGTGGAGAGAGTAGAGTTCAGTATTTTGGATGCTGTGGTAGGTGTTCTGCTGACCTCCAGTGTTATTCATGCAAATTACAAAAGCTGCACACTAAAGTGATTTTATAGAAAACACACTGAACACTGCCTGAACTAACCCTGTGTGGTGCACTATCCTCCAGACTGTCTGTTAGTCATAGCACAGCTGTTGGAGCCCGCAGCTTGCACACATACCAGAGGAGAACAGATGGAGCTGTGAGAATTCAGTGTGAAAACTGTATTGAATGAAGCCTGCAGTCACATCTACACTTCATCCAAGGTCTAATATCCACCACACGTCTCCTGAAGTTGTTACAGGAGTTTATGAAAGACATTTTTACTGCCTTGCTGCTCCAAATCAAACATCTACTACAGTTTGGTTGAGCTGGTATCTGTCTTTCTTATCAGCCTGCAGACACACCCCTCATATAGAAACTCCTGCATTCCTCAGCTGTCACTCATTTGGAGACAGACGGCCACACAGGCCACCTGAAATTAGGTCAAAGATCCTGACACCGTCACTGTAAACAAAGCAGAGAATAGATGTCCTTGGGTACTAAACTTTAGGCTGGTGTTAGTTTGCTAAACTTATATTCTTAGACAGAAATAATGAAGTTGTGAGATATGCTTCTTGGCAGGATTTTCATTTTTCATCATTCAATTCATTTCATTGTTATGTTATGTTATGTATATTTTGAAATGAACATACTTTTTCAGGCAAAGCAATTCATGGTAACAGAAGTCACGTACATATCAGTCATGTCGCTGCCTCTGTGAAATGAATAAAGATTGGCACATTGCAAATGGCAGTGAGAGCTTTGTCAAATGGTGCAACAATAATCACCTGAAGCTCAATATAAGCAAAACCAATGAGCTTGTGGTGGACTATTAGGGGAACAGGAGGCCCCCTGTCCTGGTTATGATCCAGATAAGAAAGTAACGCTGACCTTTGACCTTTTGAATATAAAATGTTATGACTTCAGTATTTTATCCTGAAATTTTGTCATAATTACATATGAATTCTTGAGGTATAGCCAAAAATGTACTTTCTGAGGCCATGGTGACCTTTGACCTCTGATGAACAAATTCATTTGATTCATTTCATTCAGTAACCAGTTCATCCTTGAGTCCAAGGCTGGGGTTGAATGTATATTTTTTGCCTATGGATTTTAACTTAGAAAAATAACCCAGAAGTATCTAAGTGGTGCTTATGATAAGACCTGGTTGAATTTGCTTTTAACTGTTAAAGGGACACACCATTCGGTCGTTCATGAAAAGCAATTGATATGCCTATCCTGCATAAATTTAACAATTATTTTCCTACAGTACTACTGATTGGGATTCATCTGGATGAATATGAGTGGACAGGAGGGTTCGTATGAGCAACCATTCTCAATGTGAAAACTTTTTTGTTTCACTTTTTGGGACCAGCAGCCTATATTCCTTCTTTTATTTCAATTCCAACTGTGGTAATGAATTCATATTTTTCACTGGGTTGTTCACATGGCCTGCATGAAACAACACAGTAATAAGGGCAAAGTATCTAATATGCATTTTTAGTCTTCAGAACATTGTAGTTTCACCACAGCAGATCCAGGTGACATCTGTCATCACATAATTAAGTAGCCTAGTGTAAGTTCAGTCAGATTATCTTAACACCACGATTGTGTTTTCATAAGTCCTTATGAATCCTCCTTTACATCTTTCCTTGACCTCATGACATTTTCAATTGGGTTCAAGGAAAAGTGTTTAGGAAAAAACACAGGACGTAAATTTTTATGACTATTCCACCACAGCCCCAGTGGACGTTTGTGCCAAATGTCAAGAAAATCCGTCAAGGCATTCCTGAGATATCACATTTGTGAGAATGGGACATACAGACCGATGGACAACCTGCACAATAATGCCTTCATCCACAGCTGTCGCCAGTGCAGAGGCATAAAAATACAGCTGGTGGCACAACCTAACACTGAAACCTTGAAAAATAAAGTAACATCCAGCAGGTGCATTAACAAGAAGAGCATGACAGCTAAGTTTGACCTTTTGTGAAATTGGATTTTCTTCTCTTTCAGGCTGAATCATAGTTGGGAAGATTAATACCTCTGTCATGTCTGTACAGTGAGTATGAAGCTATAACCAGCATATTAGCAGCCTGCATACATGAGAGTGATGTATCTGACATTAAGCAGAAAGCCTTTCCCAAAATGTCAAACCATTCCTTTAAATTACTCTATCTTCCTAGTGTACTGTGTATGAACACTGCCTCACCACCTGTTCATCCACTGTCCACTGTGATGCTATCGTGCTCAGACATTTCAATCTTCATAGACGGGATAAGGCACAGATAGAAATGTCATTGATATTCAACTTTTTTTTCTTTAAAGAATGACATTTAAAACTGAGTTAGAACCAGAGATACGAGATAATTCCCCTGTGCCAACAAGATTAGGTAACGTTATGCCACGGGACGATACTGTTTTATGTTCACACCCTCACACTGGAATTTGTTGGCACCTGTGACAAGACACTGGTGACTGCGGCTAGTGATATCGCACCATAGCAACACAACAACACAATAAAACTGTAACCAAAGTACAGTCACATGAGAGAGAGCATAATCATTACTTAATCAGAGCATGTCTTGTGCATTTGTCTGTGTAATAGTATTGTAAATATTGGATCTATTTGATTAAAAGTTTGAAATGGAAACTGGAACGAGGGTTCATGGAGACGTTTATCTGTGACAAGTCAGCAGTGGCCTTGTGAACTTGAGCTCATGATGAGATCAAAACAGTCTCTAGGCAGAGGGCACGTTAAGTAACATTTCTTAGAAAACACCACGTAACGAGTCACTTTCAAAGGTGGGACCAAATCCTTGTTTTGCAAGTCACAAGAAAGTCTCAAGTCCCAAGTCAAGACAGGCAAGTCAATAGTTAAGACTGACAAGTCCCAAGTCCTAAGCTTTTGGTTTCAAATCCTAAACAAGTCATTATGCACACTTAACCAAATGTAAAGCCATTTTAGCATCAGATTATTAATCTATGAAATTAACAAAAGTCATCAGTTCTTTTCAAAATCTGTATTTGAATATTTTTGTTGGGAGTTGTTGCATCTTTATCTGTAATTTTACCCCCACATTTTGCATACTGCGTTTAGTTTTTAGCTGACCACCTGTAGTTTTTGTACCCAAACAAAATGATTCTTGGTAGAATTTTTCAGGCTGTTCTCATACACTGTTCATACATTTTCCTAACATTATGTCCATTCACACTCAATAATGAGCCAGTAATTTGGGTATAACCCATGTATTTTGGAAGGCTGTGATCGTGTGACCAATGAGCTGATGGGAGTTAAGAAGGAAGAGGTTCAGAGCGGTTGATTTAGATGGCAGGTTGCAGCGGTGGATGGGTCGAAAAACACAGGACTTTCCCCTGGAACTTTCCCCAGGAAACACATTTCGAACTGTCCTTTCATCTATGTCCTCATCATGTTTCTTTTCCTAACCCTAACCACAGTAAGTTTACTTACCTAAACCTAAAGGTGCCCAACCATGTTCCTTTTCCTGAGCCTAACCTCCGTAACTTTATGTGAATTACGTAACTTTAGGTCAAGGACATAACATCATTCGTGGGGCGCTAATTTGTAGGATATTATACAAACTGTTGTATATGGATACATTGGATTTTTTCCACCTGGAACTTAGTAATGTAAGTTTAGTTTTTTATGGTTCTGTCCTGCAACCTAAACAATGTGGATCTGGGGCATTAATTGTCGACTCGCTGGGAATTAATGCCATTAATGTTAGTTGATTCAGTAAATTAAGGAAAATAAATTGATTAGTGGCAGCTTTTTGAATAACATAGTTTTTCAACTCAAAAGGCCAAAGTCCAAGTGAAGTCACAAGGCTGTAATGTTATAGTCTTTTTTGATTTTGTCGAGACTAAAGTCATCAAATTTGTGACTTGAGTCTGATTTGAGTTCAAGTCATGCAGCTCGAGTCCACACCACTGGTACTTTTTCTCATCACTACGTGATGTGGCTTTTGTCGCGGTAGATTTCAGCTTTAGATTTTTTAAATTCTTTAAAATAGACAGCACATGTACAGTAGACATATTTATTGATAGATGACACACAGACATCAGGAACAGACTTCACTGACTCTGCCCCAACTCTCTTCATTCTACATTTAGATGCAGAGTTATTACACATACAGATACACATTTAAAAGCCCAGTGAAAGGCTGGCAGTTTAGGAACCGTCTCATACAGTGGAGCACTTTCACCTCAGTTGAGCCTCCACACACAGGCTCGGCTGTTCTGCCTCCTGTAGCTCGGAGGCTGCTGGGCTCCAAATATACAGTTCAAAAAAGCCTCCAGCACAAGTTCTCCTTGTCCTCTTCCAACCTGGGAATCCAGAACTGCAACCTTTTAGTATATAGAAGGCTCTCCTTGCATTGCTAATGTTGATGAGTAACAATATTCTGTGTGAGTTTACATAGAGGCGTTGGATAGAGGAATAAATGATGCCAACTGCTGATTTTTTGTGATGTGGATCAATAGTTTACCAGCAATAAACAAAGCAGAAACAACATGACACAAAGACACAGCATACTGAGACAGTTATTGTGTAGCAGCTGGTACTTGGAATATTGCATATATTTTTGGAGTGCAGTATCTTCACACAGTCCTTTTCCTCTCATTCTTTAGTGTCTGTCTCCCACGACGACCAATAACCCCATTAAGTGTTAACATAAGCTGCCAGCTGGTGTCACATCTTTTTCCAACATAGCAACAGCCAATTTGGCGTTGTGCAGTCAGCAGTGCTTTGTGAGAGGCTACAAGCGCCTGTTGCTCCACAGCGTGGAAATAAAAGTCCTTGACAACACACAACCAGCTGAACACTTGTCTCCAACTTGTGTTTATCATCCTCTTTGTCCTGAAGCTTCATCAGAGTTTCAGGCAAGGCTGCCCTTTAAAGGAGGGTGCAATCATTGGTGCTTCTGCTTGATCTTACACAGCCTTTATCCAGAAATGTCTCTCCTTGTTCGAGCTGGCCTCTGTCCTGTCTGGCACAGAGGGACAACCTGTAGCACACTGCTGTCACACACGAGGCAAAAGGCAGCAGCTGTCACACGAAGGACAAAAATCTCTCATGTCTAAACAATTCCCAGACTTGTGACCGCACACACACTTCTTATACAGCATTGGTGTGTGGTGGCTCTGTTGAGTCTGCCATTGAGGTTGTGTGTGTCGTGCTGGTGTCCATCATGCTGAGCTTCTCTGTCCCGTTCCTTGGTTCTTCTCTCCGTCGTCCCCTCCGCCAACACAATCTGCATCTACGACTGACAGAGACGTCAACATGTTATCATATCTTTTAGATGCAGCAGTATTGGCAAAACTTATTGTTCAGTAATCACGCTTTCATTCTGTCTAACAAGACAGCACATAATAGCAGTTCCCAAAATGTCAAACTATTCCTTCAAGTAGGCTACATTTTACACATTGGTAGATCAATTTTTTTTCTCCCCTACAAGCACAATAGCTTACTCTGAACAAATGCAGATGAACACAATGACAAGAATGAGGAAAACAAGTCCCGCGATGACGCAGGCAATTATGATTTGTCGTTTCTCTCCTATCCGCCAGTCTAGGTCCAGATATTCACACCTGGAACCGATGTAACCACGCTGACACCTGAGAAAGAAAAGAAAGACTCTTTTTATGTAAAACACAATGAAACAATGCTGCCTCTTTTATCTGTTCTGATTGTCTTTTTCCTCTGCTAAGCTCCTAACTTTAATTTCTCCTTCGCCTTCTTTCTTAGTCACCATTATGTCCATCTTTTTGCAGCTGACGTCTCTCACCTGCAAGACGGCGCCTTCTGTTCTTGAATGTAACGACACTCCCCGTGGATGCAGTAGCTTGTCAGTTCCTCGGGACATTTTGAGAAGTGGCCACCCCACTGCCCCGTGTCTGTTGTGGCTGTTGTGTCTGCTGGACAAATGAAATGACAGCATTTGAAAATTTGTTTCATCATTTCGTGTTCAGATTATTAATTCAATCTAACAACATTTCACTGCCTGTTAAAGTTTGCAGCTATATAAACTAATGGACAGTCAAAAGTAAGAGTTTCTCATTTGGTGTTCAAACGAATAGTTCGATATTTTGTCTGTATTTGCTTTCTTGCTGAGAGTTAGATAAGAAGATTGATACATATGATGTCTGTATCATCAATACTGGGCTGGCTTATATTGAAGATACAGACGGCTTAGCTTAATTTAGCTTAGTGTAACTTAGTTTTGCATAGAGACCGGAAACAGGGGGACAGCTAACCTGAATGTCTGTCTGAATGTAACAAAATCTACCTACCAGGACATCTAAAGAAACTTCTAACAAATGTAACTGTAATCTCTTATAGTTAGTGAGAAAAAAATGCAATCAAATTACAGTAAATTTAGGTTAAAAAAATATTATATAGAGAGTATTTTGTTGCTTCTGTTGCATCTTTTCACTGTGCAGGATTTCCTTCTTTTGGCAAATCCTGACAATGCAGACCAGCAAAGCTGTGGAAAAATCTGCGTGAAACACTTTTAGGATGAGGATGGCTTACAAGGAGCTGTCTCTCTGTCAAGACAGGCTCCTTCATTTGGCAGCATGTGCTCAGATTTTGAGCTTGGTTTTCATTTGGTTCTCATTTGAATTCAAATCAGCAAAACAGGAGCCGACCACACCAAGTCAGGTGGCCATGTCATTGGACACGACTGCCTTTCAGTGGTGGAAATTCAACAACATTTCCCTCTCAAATCAGAAAAGAGCTTTAATATTTATGTCTCGTGTAAAGCCTAATTACCAGCGGTGAAAATGCTGTCATTATCAAAATGCTTGTTGTCAAGCCCGAGGTAACATTTAAAGATAAGTTAACATAACCACAAGTATATTACATTACTTAGACTAAAGTAATTAAAATAATTACAATACTTACATTACATTTTTAACAGGCTAACCAGTAACCTGTAACCTATTATATTTCAAGGGTAACCAACTTTTGTCAAGAAGGAGAATGTCAAACTATTTCTGTAACTGTGTCACGTTCTGTCAGCTCGCTTCTTTGACACCCTTAACCTCTGGTATGGCCTGATTTATAAATAGACTGTTTGCAATATGATCCTGAGTGGAGTCCTGATGAATCATCGCCAGGAAAAGCCTGGTGTCATCAAGGTCTCGTTAACCACGTGTCTCTATTATTACAATTCCATATTAAATGAAACTCATGCTGAGGTGGGATAAAGTTACAGTACAATTCCCGTTCTCCCTGTCTAAGTCTTCCCACTCTTCACTCTAAGCTGGTCCACAAAACACACCCTAACACAGCTGCCAGTGGGCCATAATGCTGAACTTCTGACCCCCAACGTTACACATGGTGCCTCTTATACTACAGGCCGCCACTATCTTTACAGCCCATTATCTTTGAAAATGAGCTCGTAAAAGAATACTGCTGTTCAGGTGACATCAATGAGAGCGCTTCGGTTGTTAGCTGAAATGAGATCCGGCTTGCTGCCACGATCATTGTTGAGGAGGAAAATATCCAGTTACAAAGTTCAAAGGAAAATTTTGTAAAATATGTAGGCCTATTTGCTTTGTTGGCAAGAGTTAGGGACTGTACTTAACTTGTCAGAGGATGGGGGTGGCTGGAGTGTGACTTTGTTGTTGTTTTGTTTGTTTGTTTATCTTGGCCCTCCCCAGAGCTACAAATATTTGTTCTTAAGCATCCGTGAGTGACTGGGGAAATGCATGACCCTCGCTTCAGGTGTGGAGACAATTAGCAAACAGCACAGGAATGAGAGTTATCACCAAAACAAACTGCTTGTTTCTAAAGCAAAATCTTCCATAAAAATCACATCATCAGACAAGCTGTGTGTGCACTTCAGCATAATGAGTGCCTGACAGCCACTCACAAAGCTAGCTAAATTTTTTATAAGCCTACACATCACACACATTTTTTTAAAAAGAAAACATGCTTTTCAAACCCACTTGCGAGTAGGGTTGCAACGGTATGAGATTTTCATTGTACAATTATTGTCTTACGTCCGATTATTGTTTCGGCGTATCACAGTATAACGAAATAATTAAAGTTAATGTTGACACAGCATTTACATTAGTGTTGTCATTATTATCAGTTACAATGAAATGAAAACAGAAAGTTTCTTTTTAGGTTGAACAAACATTTAATTCTAATTGAATGGGATAATGATAACCTTTAACTTGAAAATCCCTCTCCTAAGCCAAATCAAAAATATATGTCCCTCAGCAGTGCTTGAAAAATTATTTGAAGTGCCTTCCCTCTTTTGCACCACCCCCTCTCCTCTAACAAGTAATGAACAGTCCCTTAGCTTAGATGAAAAGACTGATGTTAGCTAATGTCTTCAGTAAATATGAAGCTAATACCAGCAGAAATTGGTTAGTGTAGTTTTGCTCAGCAGGGGAAACAGCTGGCCTGGAAAGGAATAAAAATGTCCATAGATGGGTAAATAAAATGTTATTTATTGTCTTTAATTGACCAAAACCGTAGAAAAAAAACTGTAAAAAAAAAAAAGACGTTATGGTTTTGGAGGAAGTTGAGTGATAATGAATTACCCATCTTTCCAGTTTTTCTGCAACACTAAGCTAAACTGCTGCTGTTGTAACTTCATATTTAGCATAGTCTGCATGTTCAGAGTGGTATTTAGCTTCTAATCTAGATCTCAACAAGAAGGCAAAGAAGCAGATATCTTAAAATGTTGAACTACTAATTTATTTTAAATTCATTTGTTGAAGCAGCTTCTGAATCACTTGTTTTACCGAAACAATATAGTTTTCTCCTTCAATGCAGGTAATGAGGAATTCAATTACAAGTACTATAGAATGTCCCAGAAATAAGTTTTAAAACCCAGAAATGATTTAGCATTTTAGCACTCCCCGTTCCCTCATCTCAACGTCAGTGGGTCTTTTGAATATGTTTTTGTTTAGATGCCTTAAGTAAAGTCTGTGGATCACACAAGCTTTAGAGACTAAAACATTTTGTTCTACGCCATAAAATATGCCAGTAAATACCCCACTTGTGAATTTTGAGGCTTTTCTGTGTCTTAAAAACGGCAGTTGCTAACAAGTGGCTAAATGAGACTGCAGAATGTCATCACACCTAACACTGCTGTACAGCCTTGCTGTGTAAGGGACGTCAGGCCATGTGGTGTAGTTTGTTTATAGCCTAATGTTAGCTTCTTATCTCTGGTGATTGCATTTGTGCTTCAAAAGTTAAAATAGTGATGTTCATTTGAGAGGGTTATCTTGCAAAACAAAATGTGTACGTATCATATGTTTGTTTACAACAGAGCCTTTTTTCTGCAATAATCCAAAATCAGATTAAATAAAATCCTATTGGACTGAACCACACACAGTTAATCACTCAGTACTACTCTCTAAATTGTCTAAATTCAAACTCTCTGTCAGCGTACTGAATTGGATTCAGTCTTACTTACTTGATCGCTCTCAGTGTGTCAGTATAAAGGATAAAACGTCATCTCTAAAAACCTGTGTTACAGGAGTGCCACAAGGTTCCATCTTAGGACCGTTGTTGTTCAGTGCATACATCAATGACCTCCCAACTGTGTGTGATGGTGTGGAGATCCTGATGTATGCAGATGACAGAGTCTTATGTGTACATGGGAAAGACCCTGATGAGGTTGTGGAGATGATGATGGATTTTGTCCTGTGTTTAATTGTCTTTGTTCACCTGCCCAGGGACTACAGATGGAAAGTAGCTAGAAGCTAAATCTGGTACAAAACATCTCTTTTCTTCGTGAGATTAATGTACTTTGTGCACTGTCCCTGTTACAAATAAATTTAATAAACTAAACTAAACTAAAAAACTAAACCAGGACGACACTAATTTCCGCTTTGGCCTACAGAAAAATGTCATCCCTTGAGCACTCTCTCTGTTATTAGATTAAATAGCCTACAGCAGAGTTAGTTGATCCAGCCTCCGCCTAAAGTTGATGTATCTTTCAAAGACACAGAGAAGTCGCTCCAACAGCTGGTGAAATTAACTGCCCATTTTTTCCCCGTTAAGTGTTTCAGTGCGTAGTTGTGTTTTCATGTTTACATCCACATCTGTGTTTTATTCTTCCATTAAAACCTCCACCTTAAAACTTCAAAGCGACCATTTACAACCCCCGCCTCCTCCCAATACCTACCTGTGCAATTGTCTCTGTTGCCATGGTGATGACAGTGGGACACAGTTCGATTGGCAGACTCGTCAGTGGCATTCCATTCTGCCAGGGAGTATTTGCATAAGGCCAGAGCTGCAGCCAGAAACACAAACAAAAAGCCGATCACACACACACACACACACACACACACACACACACACACACATACACGCTCACAACACACAAATATATCCACGTGCACAATTGTGCAAACACTTTTAACCAATTAGTGACCACATTCGACGTTAAGTACGAGATCCACAGGAAAAAACCCATGGTCACAGTCAGAGTTATTGAAGAATAGCTGCTGAGTCATGATACCAGCCTGCCTTTTAGGGTAGGAGATTTCTCTCAATCACGCCCACTTCTGTCTCTCTCTCACACACACACTTTTACAGCACTAAACAAAATCTTAACTGCCCTGGTCACTTTTAGATCAGACATAAGTTTACCACAGAGCTTAAATGTATATGGGGGTATTGCAATGTGATATTTAATTCCACATTAGGGAGGCTTGTTATGACAAAAATCACTCATCACAGTGAAAAGATATTGCTGGTGTATTCATTTAATCATCAGCAAACACTGGAGTCTACTGTACAAATATAGCTCCGTAGGAAGAGCACTGTCTTCTGCATTACTTTGAAGGCACATGGATGATGAAAAGGTGCGGCAACAATCAAAACAAAAAGTAGAATTAACTCATACAGTGCCATTTTAACTCTATGGGAAGAAAATGATAACTGGAGCACACGTTAGATTAATAATTATATGAAAACATCACTCTAACTTGTCTGTCTGAGATCATATTGAAACCAGTCCTGTGTTTACAGCCAATAAACTGAGTAGGATAAACAACAGTAAATCTTACCTGCTACTATTCCTACATAGAGTCTGTACACCTTGGCCATCTCCTCACTTGATTAAAGCACTGGTCCGACACATGAAAGCTCAGTATCATTGACAAATAGAAATGACACCAGATCAATCCTTTCTCAGAGGTCAATGACCTTTGACAAAGGTGTGGACAAGCTGTGGAAGTTCCCCAGTGCCGTGCCGTATTGTGGTCCTTCATTGATGGCGGTTAGTTTCATAGTCATCCAGGAAAGCTTGAGGCTATAACCAAGGCGCACGCACACACATTAGCACAGCCCAAAGTCCCTCTCTGGACTGTGGCTGGACTGCACTACAGTGAGTGTGTGTGTGTGTGTGTGTGTGTGTGTGTGTGTGTGTGTGTGTGTGTGTGTATGTGTGAGAATAGAAAAAAAGGGGTGGTACTGAAACCCAACTCTGCTCTCTGCTCCCCGCCCACACCTTTAAAGGAGAACACGACTCCATTCAAGCTATTCAGGTTATTTCCTCGTCAAAGAACAGCTGCACCTTTACACCTGACTGTCCTTTTCTTAAGAATGAAGCGAGAGGCGGAAAAGCTCATTGACAATGAACAACAGCCAGTTTAACAACAAAGCACTTCGGGATCCATTTAGATATTTTTCATTGTGGTGTCCTCAGGTGGAACATGTAAATAGGCTATATAACCTGACTTTTGCAGGTTTCCTGGTCAAAATCCAACACTGAAGCACACTGCTGGAATTCTTACTGGTCGAGACTGGTTCCTGCAGGGTATGAGTCAGCTGGAGAAAGTTTAATGTGAAAGTCCAAATGGCTACTAAGACGAATACTTTACTAGAGTATTTCCATGTCATGCTTCACTACATTTCAGAGGGAAGTATAGTACTTTTTACTCCACCACATTTATCTGATAGCTGTATTTACACAATAAGATTTTACAAACAAATCATATTATTAGCTTATAAAATACTAAGCTTTGCCCCAGATTAAAGTACCCAACAGTATATAAATACTTAAAATTAGCTCCATTTCAGCCAGTTTCTAGCCATGGATGGATTGTGAAACAGTGGGCCCCTGGGCATAGATATGGAAAAGGCCCCACTGCCTCTCTTACATAGGAGCAGGACACACAGACTGTGATGGTTTTGCATCTCTTTGTAGTCTTTATGCAGTTTTATTTGTGTCTATTTGATGTAGTTTTGTGTCTTTTGAGGTTATTTGTGTCTCTTGTAAGTAATTTGGTATCTCTTTGTGATTGTTTTGTGACTTGCTGTGGTCATTTTGTGTCTCTTTGATGCAATTAAGTGTCTGTTTCAGGCAATTTCCTGTGTCTTTGGGGCAATTGTGTGGCTTTTTTGGTCATTTTGTGTCTGTTTTAGTCATTCTGTGACTCCTTGTGGTTGTTTTGTGTCTTTTTTGTTATTTTGTGTCTGTCTGAGGTACTTTTGCATTGTTTTTGTTATTTTGTGTCTCTTGTGAGTCATTTGGTATCTCCTTGTAGTTGTTTTGCAGCTGTTTGTATACATTTTGTGTCTCTTTTATGCATTTTTGTCTCTTTGGGGCAGTTTTGTGTCTCTTTGAAGTCATTTTGTGTGTCTTTGGGGCAATTTTGTGTCTTTTTTGGTCATTCTGTGTCTCCTTGTGGTTGTTTTGTGTCTCTTAAAGGCAATTTTGTTTGTCTTTGAGGTAATTTTGTGTGTCTTTGTCTTTTCTTGTCATTCTGTGTCTTGTGTTTTTTTGTGTATCTTTTTAGCTGTTCTGTGTCTCTTTAACGCAGTTATATGTATCTTTGAGGTAATTTTGTGTTTCTTTGTCGTCATTTTGTGGGGTTTTTTTTAGATAATTTTGTGTGTCTTTGGGGCAATTTTGTGGCTTTTTTGGTCATTTTGTCATTGTGTCTGTTGCAGTAATTCTATGTCTCCTTGTGGTTGTTCTGTGTCTCTTTTTAGTTCTTTTGTGTCTGTTTGAGGTACCTTTGTGTCTTTTTTGTTGTTATTTTTTGTCTCTTGTGAGTCACTTGGTATCTCCTTGTAGTTGTTTTGTGGCTGTTTGTATACATTTTGTATCTCTTTTAGGCAATTTCTGTCTCTTTGGGGCAGTTTTGTGTGTCTTTGAGGCAATTTTGTGTCTGTTTCTTGTCATTCTGTGTCTTGTAGTTTTTTGTATATCTTTTTAGCTGTTCTGTGTCTCTTGAAGGCAATTTTGTGTCTTTGTTGTCATTTTGTTTCTCCTCATGGTTGTTTTATGTCTCTTCCTGGTCAGTACGTATTAATTTGAGTGACATTTTGAAGGTAATGGTCAGGGGGCCCCCTGACTCTTTAGGCCCCTGGCCCTGTGCCCTGTTCAGTAATCCATTCATGCTAGTCTACAGTAAAATGCTGCTTACAAATTAATGCAAAAGTAATAACGATCTTACAATATAGTATATGATAGTATAACACTCAAATGGGGCTTTTTTCTAAACTGAGTACTTCAGCTTTTGATACTTTACGTATGTTCTGCCGATAATATTACTTACTTTTACCTAAGTAACATTTTCAATGCAGAGCTTTAACTAGTATAAATATTTCTACATTGTTGTATTGCCACTTTTACCAAAGTAAAGCACCTGAATACTTCTTCCACCACTGCCTGGGCTGTTTGGATGAAATGAAGCATGTTATTTTTGTTCTCCAGATGTGACCAGCAGATGGCACAAGTTGACACTTAAATTAAATACATATTTTCAACATGTCCTGTGACACCTAAAATTGTACTTATGGTTAAGTTATTATGGTTTGTAAGTGTATGATTAAATCAACCTCTCTCATGCCTTTCCTGTGATTTAATCTGTATGTGAGAAACTCATTTGAGAAAGGGAAAATAAAATCTGAAAGAACAGAATAGTCACAGTTTCTCATCACTCAAATAATTTAACTGATGTGTGAAAATGGCATTTTACTCTCTGATAATTGATTCAGAGCTCAAGGACAGAATGAACTGCAGCCACAGTAACTAAATGGAAATAGCTGTGTGGCAATCTCCTGTAAAACCTCTAGTATTTTACATGTTATTTCGGGTTAAAAAATATATACAGAATCAATGTTCTTAAGTGAATCAGCTTCACATTGCTCTCAACTATCTATCCTAGAGGGAAATTCTCATTTTTACATACATTCTGTGCTCTGCTCATTCTGATGCAAAAAGTCTCAAAAAGGAGGAACATCTGACGCCTTTAGTGTGGCACACATTTGAACAAAGGTCATTAGGAAAGGAGGCATAGAAATGTGAAAACTATTGAGACTCGTCCAAGAACAGTGTACTGAGAGGAAAAGGAAGTGACCAAGCAGAGAGCCATTTCATGACTGGCTAGACCTCTTTTAGGCTGATGTAGACTGTTTCTAGGGCGACTGTCTACATCTTCATATATATNTTATATTTTACACAGAATAAATGCAAATAAATAAACAGACTTAAATGACTGAACACACTTCAATCAAATGGATGACGTGATTCATAATATCCTATTCCCACACTCGGGTGATTCATATTTCATTTCTAATCTAGCATAGCCTTGAGCTTGTAAATGAGGTCTGAAATCTTTCAAAGCTGAGTGAAGCCAGTGTTTCTCTCTGTCAAGTGTCTTTGCAGTTCTGAACAGGAAGACCCAGTTTCCTCTCTCTGGCTGTGCTCCTAACTTAGACTGAACATCAGGAAGCTCCAACGCAGAGAGATTCCAAGGCATAATTTAGAGCCTGGCTATAAACATCCGCTTTGTATAATCCATAGATAATCACTACATAACTCTGCCACTAATAGTAGCTTTAAAAAGTTATCAAATAAAAAGATGAAGAAGGTTTCTGTAATGCCCTTTATTGTGTTAAAAAGCAGATTTGTATGGCTATACAGTAAAGTAATAAAACAAGACATTTATCTGAAAAATAAATCATTAAAATGTGCTTTTCTTAAAAAACAAAAATGAATTATTTTCTTCTGTGAGTGAGATGCCACAGTTGTGTCCACTTCCTCCTCCCCTGCAAAGACAGTACAAATTCTAATTATCCCTCTTTGAAATCCTGCTATACTAATAGGTTTACGTACAAATAAAGGTTGTAAACTTTGCATACTCTCACCTTCACACTACAGCACAGGAGCGTGGTTCTCTGAAGGGGTTGCTGCCTGTGGGGACGCCGACCAGCAGGGCGTCTTTGCCTGCATTCTGCAGACAGTACTGCTGGAGCTCTGCAGCTGCCTGAGACACCTGCAACACACACACACACACACACACACACACAATATCTATTTATATGGCACCACTTTCTGATAAGACACCATTTATAAAGGGTTTATAAGCATTTATTAATGGCTTTATTATTGATTAATGAAAAATGTACTAGGGCTTTATAGATCAGTCATAATCCATTAATAAAAATAGAATTCAAAGGTCTAGTGTGTTGGTTTTAGGGGTATCTATTGGCAGAAATGTTATCCATCTTGTTTTGTGTTTTTGGAGAGGCCAAGGATACTATCAACAGACAGCCAGTCACTCAAAGCGTCAAGCCCTTATTTATGCGTGATGTTAAGCCCTAATAAAATTTAAACGGCCATTGGTTTACAGTTTGGACAAGGCTATAAATAAGTTTTTTTTGCTGTAAAGTTTGAGCTTTTTAGGCATGTTAACATGGAGGTCTATGCGGATAGCCTGACTTCTGGAGCCAGCCTCACCCATTCAGAGAATTGCCATTTTTGGTACTTCTGTGTTGGCATCATTTTCCAGCACCAAACGTTACTGCTTGCTTTACAATCAGCTGAAAATAGGAATCATTGTGTTTTTGTTGCTTTAGAATGAGCTGTTTACATCTATATACCAAGCGAGTCCTCTTCACCAGGTTGTTTCTACAGTAGCCAAGAACAGACAAATCAAACACTGACTCTAGATAGGGCCATTCGCTTTTTTTGAGTTTTGCTTTGGCCACCATATTTCTCCCCTATATACTTAACACATGGGAGAAGTTTCAGTTTTGCAACCTCACAGCTCAATTCCACTAAATCCTACACACTGGACTTTTAATCAAATTAGAATAAATAATAAGAATCACTTTAGGGTTGCCTGAACTTAAATGCCCTGCAGCATCAAACATGCTTTGTATTTTTAGCTAGCTATTTAAATATAGGGAGACTCCTCCAATGAACTGTTTGGCCACCTACCTTTGAATAATGATTTACTTACAAGATCCTTAATAAATGGCTTACTAACATTTGTAACTGCAGCCTTAATGTCTTAGTAGAAAGTGAGAAATACAAGACCCTTTAATAACAGCTTACTTGTAAGGAGGGATCACCCTAAATGAACTAACGAGCTACAAGGAAAAAGCATGGTTGATGCTTGAGGAGGATATTCCACAAACTGGCAACCCAAATGTGTTATTAATTGATTGTAAATGATCTATAATGCATTAGCAAATTATTTAGTTACTATCAATAAATCCATTCATTCGTGAACATAAATCATTTGTGAAGCCATATTTTTAACTGTTGTACATTAGCCTGATGTATAACATAAATAAAGCGAACGTGTAAAAGGCAGCTGAACAGAGACTAAAAAAGCCAAAAGGAGTAAAGTAAATGATAAGCAGTACTATGTAAGCAATTCATACAAAACATAGAAATAAGAGCAGCAATTAGTGCAACATAAAATCACATTTCAACACAGAAAATATTAGTAAAACTATCAAGATTACTTAAAAGATTACAAAATATAAAATAATCATCAACATCTTCATGTCATAGAGATATCTTTGAAATATTTACATTATGAGATGAGTCAGACTTGTGAATAATTTTTATTACATTCTACAAATATCTAAATCTGACATATGTCATATTTAAGTGTATCAAAGTGTATGGAGAGAGCTCATAACCACATTTTGTTTTGTTTAGTGTCTTTTGAAGTGTTTAATTGATCATCATATGCTGCAGCCACTACACTGTAATGTGCATAATTGTCAAATAGGAGTATTGAATCAAAACATATGTAGTGTGAGACAGTATTGAATGACCGTAGTCAGACAAATAGGTGGCTGATAATTTAATATATTGTATAAAATAAAAGCAAAATATGACACTGTAATGTGTTAATTCTAATACAATGGGCGAGTGCGTAAATATAACAAAGTTAAACAAGCCAGGAAAAGTGAATTAGTAAACCCTAAACTCTAACATATTTTTTCCGCCCTCTGTTGTATTTCTTTTATTTACCTTGATTCTCTCCACACTGGCCTCGAGCTTCAGTTGTTCCACCAGCCGCCGCATGTTAGATAAATTGGAATTAGAGGTCATGTCGGTGGAAATTGTTCTGGGGGGAGAGAAATTCCTTGTTAAAAAAAAAAAATCCCCTTCAGTCTTTCAACACTGGAGCAGACTGCACTAATGGGCAGCAAAATGCTCGAGGAGAAAGTGTGGCCGGGTTTCTTTCCAAATGACCTCGGTCCACTTCACTAAAGGAACAAGGAGAGATGGAAGTACACTGACCTTTTGTACTTCAGAGCCTACACTCTTTTTAATAAGCCTATTTAGACATTCATTTTGAATGGAAGTCTTTTTTCAGCATTAGTGAACTTGCTCTGTGTTGCTTTTTGTTCATTTTTTTATTTTATGATGCAAAACAGTGCATTTTTCCCAGTCAAGAAACAAACAGATTCATCTTACTTCATATAAACTTAAAACTGCACCACAGACACAGAGAAAGAGATCAAGAGAGGGAGAATAGTCTTTCTATATATATACCAATAATACCAATTAGTGTGGAGTGGAGGTGGGTTATAAAACCCTCCAACAGCAAGCCTGCATCAGTGCTGACTTACTGTTGTTTTCGACATGGAAGACACTCTGTACAAATGTAAACTCCATGCGAACCTGCATACCTGTTCAATCATAAACTGCTCAGACTAATATAGACATTTAGTATTATCATACAGACATTAACAACTTAAAGCTTATATTGTATATATTATATTATATTTAGAATCAAAGAGGCTTTACCCATCTCTAGTCTAGAACATGGTTGACATGTTCATTTCATTTATCAGTTGTCAACGACTTATTCGAGGCCAGGTTGTAGGGGCAGCAGGCCGAGCAAAGTACTCCAAACGCCCCTCTCCCCAGCAACACCTCCTCTGCCTTGGGGATCCCGAGGCATTACCAGGCCAGACGAGATGTATAATTCCTCCAGTGTGTTCTGGGTCTGCACTGGGGCCTCCTACCTGTTGGACGTGCCCAAAACATCTCTAACGGGAGGCATCCTGATCAGATGCCTGGACAACCTTAACCAGCCTTTCGACGCAAAGGAGCAGCGGCTCTACTCCGAGCTCTCTCCAGATGTCTGAGCTCCTTACCCTATCTCTAAGGCTGAGCCCAGTCACTCTTCAGAGGAAACTATTTTTTTGTATCTGCAACCTCATTCTTTTGGTCAATACCCATAGCTCATGACCATAGGTTAGGGTTGGGACATAGATGGAACAGTAAATCGAAAGCTTTGCCTTCTGACTCAGCACTAAAAAACCGCCGGTCCATCTCACGCTCAATTCTACTCTTACTCGTGAACAAGAACCCGAGATAGCTGAACTCCTTGATTAAAAAGATATTATACAAAAATTCAGGTATACAATAGCAGCACGTGCAGATCATATCAGAGTGATTAATTCAAATGAAGAACATAAAATGGGAGTAAGATTTATTTTTCATGGTTCTGAAAAGTTTCCAAAGTTCATCCCAAAGCTTGCTGCTGTATTTGTACCCTGCACCTGAATGAAGGCTGCTTCATTGAAAAGGTGACAAATAGGCTATAAACAGGGTGCCATAGTGGAGTGGGAGTGGGGAAGGTCTGGTTAAAGGCAAAGGTAACTGTCACTATAGTTAGACCTGAACTATAACGATAGTTTCCTTGTCGAAGGCCCCGTGTCTGCAGCTGCACATGGGATAAGTTTTCTTTGTTTTCTTCAAGAAAGCCATTTCTGACAGAATCTATTATCTATCTATTTATCTACTATCCACAACTTTTCCCTAACCTTAACTAAGAGATCTCTTGCAGAGAAGCTGAGAGAAATTGTACTCGAGGGCTTTCTACCCAAAACCCTAAAGGAAAACATCTCTAATTTGCAACTGTTGTACAGCCAGGCTCTCTTGTAGCTCTGCGCATGCGCTAATCTGAGCTGCCTGAAAGTGTTGTGAGATGTCGTGCTGCGGCTCAAGTAGAAATTACTAGCAAACGAGCAGCGTTTGAATGCAGCAGCTTCCCCCCTGAAATCCACATGGCTAATGAACTCCAACACCGTCTGCTTGTGTCCTCATTGGTCCGGCCTGCAGCTGATTCACGGGATTGGCTGTAAGTAGCTTTTGCCGAAAGGTAAACATTACAGGGAAGTAGAGGAGCTACACTTCTTCCAACCATAGCGTCGAGGTGTAGATGAAATATGAGCGACACTTAACGTTAGAGCTGTCAGACCTCCGGGACTGTTTAATCTGAGGTGTGTGTGAGCCCTGAGCAGACATGGTGGAGGTATTCAGCGGGCGGACACTGCTGAATAAAGACGGGGATGTGGTGGATCCCGAGGAGGCGCTGAGGAACAAAGTGGTGGGGATTTACTTCTCTGCAGGATGGTGTCCTCCGTGTCGAGACTTCACACCCATCCTGTGTGATTTCTACACGGAGCTGGTGGAAGAGAGTGAACCTCCGGCGCAGTTTGAGATAGTTTTTGTCTCCTCTGACAAGTCCACTGATGACATGGTTGAATATTATCATGACATGCACGGAGACTGGCTCGCACTGCCCTGGACTGATGATTACAAACAGTGAGTATCAAAACCAAACTAAAAGTCAATGAAAAGTTGATTAAGTTTCCATTGGTTCTTCCACATAGATTTTACACTCAATATAATATGTCAAAAACCTAGTTGGCTGCTCTGACTGTCCTTACTTTATTTGTCTTGTATCTTGTTAGGATTTAACACTGTTGTCTATAAAGCTCATTAGTCTGTGCTCCCTCTTATGTAAAATGCTTATGAGGGTCACCCTCTCAGGGATTAGGGTTAAGAGCAGGCCAGACAAACTGTCTGTCACAATGACTTCAAGACTGATCTGTTCAATTTTAATTTTAGACTTTGTTTTATGTTATTTGTCTCTGAATGTCATGTTACATTTAGTCTCTGTCTTCAGTTTTTGCAGGCCTGTCCTCTGATACACAACAGTGGTGGAGGAGGAGCTCAGATCTTTTATTCAAATTAAAGTAGCAACACCACAGTTAAAGCCCTACATTCAGTGTTACTTAGGCAAAGTATGACCATGTAAAAGTATCAAAAGTACTCACATGGAGGCAACATTGTCTCCTGTCAGTGTTATGTCACTGTAAAGTTTATAATCTTGGACTAAAATTACTGCTTCATGAATGAGTAAGCAGTATTAATGTAGCAACTGAAAGTTACATTACTTATTAATTAATCAGCTGCTTACGTCCTCAATAAATCACTTTGTTTATAAAATGTCAGTAAATTGTTCCCTTTTTTCAACCATCACTTAAACCCCCCAAAATATTCAGTTAGCATCCACAGAAGAGTTAGAAACCACTTTAAAAATTCATATTTAAGCTGCTGGGACCAGATAATTTGGGTATTCTGCTTTAAAAACTAGTGAAACAGTTATTCCATTATCGATCAACTAATCAATTAATCCACTTTTTTTTTTTTTTTGCGTATGCAGTATTTTAAATTTTGTAGCTGTTCACAGGGAGGCCACTTTAATTTTTTTTATATATATATATATTGTATACCACTGTTTAATTAAATCAATAACAGTGCATCAGAAATGTTGAAATTAAAGATAAATTTTTAAGGTATCTTGTAAACATAGCCTTCAAAATAGATATGCAAATGGAACGTAAAATGGAAATATTACAGTTAAGTACAAGAGCTGTGACAATCATGGTCAGTTGACGAAGTAATTTCAACTGTTCAATTGACTGATGTTCATTGTGGCATTTTTCAAGGAAAAATGTCAAATATAATCAAGAAATTACTGTCAAATTTATGGATAATGAAAGTAATCATCAGTTTCAGTCCTTATGAGTACAGTATATATATTATTATTATATATAAAAAGTACAGTACAAATCTCCAAAGGATAAAATGGAAATTTTAAAGTAAAAGTATCTTAGATATATTTTTAGAGTCCCACCGCTGTCAGCCATGTAATGCTTAATACAAAGTAGAAGAAGTGAAGCAACAGTTATTCCAGGTGTCTTATTGTAATAAACATATTTCTTTGTCTCTCTTTTCTCTTTCAGTGAGTTGAAGCAGCGCTACAAGATTACAGCGGTGCCCAAACTGGTGATCGTGAAGGAGAACGGCGACGTGATCACAGACAAGGGCAGGAAACAGATCAGGGACAGAGGCCTTGCCTGCTTCAGGTCCTGGCTGGACGCTGCCGAGATCTTCCAGAACTTTAAGGGTTAGAAAACAATGACGAGGAACATGACAACCCATCTTTTCACAAGGGCTACTGCAGCTACGTAAGAGAGCCCAACAGAACCAAAGCAAGATATTTCAGCGTTCACTTAAGTTCAGCGGTTCCCAGTGTGGGGATGGAGGTTCAGAAGATATGAAAGAGCGACGTATGTATCTGTCACACAAAATTCTGTTTATTTATCCCGAATTTTCTCTTTTTTTTAAGCTTTTTTCTTGTCAAATTCTGGATTTATTTAAATTTTTAGGCACTCTAAAATCCTCTAAATGAAGCAATCAAAGATGGAAAAATCTAACTTTGGTTGACCTGCTCACAAGTCATGCTTTAATGAGGGTTAACAAGTAAATATGGATTTGAGTCAAGGGTTAACAAAGCAAAAAGGGTGGAAAACGCTGCTTTAAACATCCTATGCATTTAAGACAAACCTCAGGCGTGTCCATTATGGTTCATATGTAAAAACTTTTTTGCTTATAGGAAATTGTGCATTTAGTATGAATCATACAAGCAAGCCACTGCTAATTCTTAGTTTAATTAAAAATACATTCTGTGATGATCTTTATAGGCTTGTGCACTAATTAAACAGTCAAACTGTGCTTTAATTAACTAGATATCTTCTTGATTTTGTATACTTAAGGTTTGACTTGTAGTTCTACATTGAGCTACCTGTATATTTTTGTATTTTTATTTTATATGAGTTGTGAAGACTGTTATTAAAAATATACATATATTCTGAGACTTATTGTCATTGGTTTTATCTCAAATATTTGTTGGAACGTCAAGTAGTCTCTGCATGTGTCCTAAGGTTTATGAACAAACAAAATGATTCCCCGTTGCCTCGTTAAGATGCAAAAAGCCCACAGGACATCATTTCCAACATGCTGGCACATTCATATCCTCTGTCCTAATTGCCTTTTTGTCCCTTGTGCATGCTGACACTGCTCTTATAACTTTGCACATAAAACCTCCAACAGGCATGATGACATTATGATGAGTCTGCACAGACCAATCGCTCCAGTACCTGTCTGCTTTGTGGTATCAAATGCTGAAAGTCTTCAAAGGACACCGTGTCACACCAGGTAACGCCCGGAGGCTTCATTCAGGAATAAATTTGGCTGGAGATGGTGCCTTTCCTCGAGGGGTCGGCTCAGGTGTTTATGCCGCCCATTCATCACAGTTCCCAGAGCACTTCCTGTATCTCGCAGTCTGACACTGAATTAAATGATGCAACTCCTCAAAGAACAGGAGCGAGATGGAAAATGAAGACTGACAAAGACAATGTATAACTAACTGAACTGAACTTTACTTTAAATCATTATTCCTCTGCTGCACTTTTGTGGAGGCTGCAGTATCATAGTCCACCATGTGGGGTCACTGTTTTCTCATAAATGAGCACTCAGGTTGTTTCTCATTTCTATCGACTTTTAGGACAGCTGGTCCCTACCCCTAACCAAACACCAACTATCATACAAAGACATATGTCTCTGGGGTTGATCTTTAATGCTCAGGTCTCGTGGTCTTTCATAATCTGGTCATATAGGACTGAGAGCAGCTCCACTTATCTGTGTCCTCATATCACATGACAGTCTGACTAATTATAGGACCAAGTAGAAGTTACATTATCCTGTTGGGTTTAACAGTGTGTGTTATCATGTTATCATATTAGCTTTCAGTCACGAAGTGGGGTCAAAGGTCAAAATCATACCCAATATTGCTTGACAGACCAAAAACATGGATGTGGCCCAGTAATTATAAGTTTTAAAGTTGTAACTGATAATTAATAGTTGATTTTCTGACAATCAAGTGATCAGTTAATGGTCTGTTGCAGCTCTAGACAGATTTGTGACAAACATGAAGCTTTTCACCGTTATATTGTAAACACTTATGTCCTGTTAAGGTGTTTTATAATCCCATCAGGGACAGGCCATGAGATGGAACGATGTTAATAAAATTCAGTTCATTTATTCATTCATATAACCCTTTGTACAGGGTGCTTTATAAAGTAAGTGGTACCAAAGTATATACTGTAGGCTACATCTTATCACAAACAGCACAAACATGCAAAGGCTTTTTTTTAGTTTTGTGCACTTGTGTGTCTTTGAGGTAATCATAGGCTGGAGCCTATCCCAGCTGATATTGAGCGGGAGGTGGGGTACACCCTGGACAAGTCGCCAGACTATCACAGGGCTGACACATAGAGACAGACAACCATTCACACTCACATTCTCACCTACGGACAATTCAGAGTCACCAGTTAACCTGCATGTCTTTGGACTGTGGGAGTAAGCCGGAGTACCTGGAGAAAACCCACACTTACACTGGAAGAACATGCAGACTCTGCACAGAAGGGCTCCTCCACCTTGGGATCGAGCCCAGGGAAGGGGGGTTTGAACCGAGGGTGAGGGAGGTCGGAACCCTCTTGCTGTGAGGTGACAATGCTAACTACTGCACCACTGTGTCGCCATCTTTTGTAGTAGGCTATTTTGTGTATATTTGCAGTTCCTTTGCATGGTCATTTTAAGTCTCTTTGTGGTCTGTGTCCATTTGAATGATACTTTGCAGGTTAAGGTTGAGGGTGGCCTTACACTTTGGGCCCCTGGGCCTGTGTCTGGTAGGCCTGTTCAGTAATCCATCCATGCATTTAATATGAATAGAGGAGGCCACACCACAGCTATTTCTGTCCTATAATGACAGTGTTGAAAAGAAATTGAGTACATTTACTTGAGTACTGCACTTGTACTTTACTAATTGCTACTTCATACTTCTACTCATAAATACTGCACTTTTTAAAAAATAAGCCCATCTTTAACAGCTGCAACATTCAAGTGATGCACACATTAATGTATTTATAATTATAATAAATAACATCATTTAGACCTACATTTTTCTGAAATGGGTATTTTGGTACTTCAGGTATATTGTAATGCTAATACTTTTGTGCTTTTATGAAGTAAACATTTTAAATACTTATTCCGCCATATGTATCTGAATGGTAATCAGGTAATATAATCACGTGCCTATATGAGACTGCAGTGATGAGGAAAATGTCCATTTTCTTGTATTTGCTTCCTGTCTGCAGCCTGATTGAGACCCCAGCCGGCAGAGAGACTCTCGGGTCAGTTTAGATTCAGATGGATCTTTATGTCGACTTCACATTAGTCAGTCGGACTTCTTGTTGGCTTTAGAAATGAAAGGCAGTAGTGTTTCTTCCTGCCGCTGTAACGGTGTCTTGAATCAACTAACAAGGCTGTCTTTATGCGAGAGCAGGGCGGGAGGGAGGCGGAGAGCAGGCTGGACCGGCGGACCCTGCACGGTGGGAGCGCTACTGTCAAGTTCACCATGTTGATGTACAGCACTTCCGCTCAAAACCTTCAAAATAAGACGCCCATGTATTGATAAATTAATGACTAGTTACAGGCTGTGTAGACTTTCCAAGTTAATCCCAAGAGTAGTTCTAAAAACAGAGAATTAAGTCAGATTAAAGATTAATTAATAAAACACTTAACATTGTTTTTTTTTTTGTTTGCTTACGACTAACTTTACGCTTAGTAAACTTTACGCTTACGTTAGCTTTTGTTAGTGACGACTGAAGCTCCAAACATGAGGCTTCAAACAGGAGTCTACAAACCAGTGTGTGAAGCCACGGTAGCTATGTTAATTATTTTTACAGTCTATGGCTGAAGCCCACTTAGAACATTTTAATCCCGTTCAACTTTAAACTGTAACACTGAACCTCTAAAATATAGTAAAACCCAGCATCATGAATCATGCATTCAAAAAACCTAGAGGTCCAGTGTGTAGAATTTAGTGTCATCTAGCAGTGAGATTGCAGAACTGAAACTTCCCCTGTGTGCCAAGCCTGTAGAAGAAGATATACTTTATTAATCCCTGAGGGGAAATATTTTCACTCTGTTGTCATATACACACAGGCCCGGAATACACACAAACATGCACAAACAGGACCTATACATGCAATAAACAGAGAGATGACAGATGTGAGGGGGCTGCCTTGGACAGGTGCCCTGAGCATTTGGGGGTTGAGTGCCTTGCTCAGGGGCACCTCGGCAGTGCCCAGGAAATGAACTGGCACATCACCAGTTCTTAGTCCACGCTCCATGCTTGGTCTATACAGGGACTTGATCTGGCAAACCTCTGGTTCCCCAGCTAAGTATCCATGGACTGAGCTGCTGCTGCTGCTGCTGCCCTGGTAGCTCACAGCAGGAACTACATGGCCAGTGAAAAAACACAAAACATGAATGGCCTTATCTTTAGCCAGTATTTGGTTTGTCCATTCTGGGCTACTGTAGAACAACATGTCAGACTCCATAGAAGAGGCCCACCTCTGTATGCAGACATAAAGGGCTCATTCTAAGGCAGGGGTCAGCAACATTTAGGCCTACTATTAAAAACATTTTTGGCCAAAACATTTTTTATGAAATCTGTCTGGAGCTGGAATACATATTTGTGCCTTACACTGACGTCTAAATGAACATTTATTAATATGTTTTACAACAAAATAACTACTCTGTTGTGCATTATATTTGTTTTTTTGGTACTTAAACTTTGCAGCGTTAGTGGTGAAAGCAAACAAATCTTTCCACTCACTATGAAATTCTCTATTTTCCTCTGAGACATTTTCTTAGCCTCACTATGGAGACACAAGACCAGCCATCGCTACGAAAATCAAAATGTTTAAAAAAAAAAAAAAGTTATTCATTTCTATATAATTTTTTGTCAAAGCCACAGGGAGCCATTGGAGAAGGGCTAAAGCAGGATTTATACTTGTGCCGCAGACCCTATGCCGTAGCCTACGCCATAGTGAGTGTTTAAACTTGTGCAGTGGTGTGTCTGCGTCCCTGCTGTTACTCCTCTAAAACACTAGTCAGCGGTGGGGTCTCTGTGAAGTGCTGTTGATTCAAAACACATCCAAAACACACATTAAACATGGCTTAATAAAGACAATTTCAAACACAAGTACACAAATTGGCTTCACTATAACTCGCAGCATTCACAGACAAAACACTTGTCTTCATCTGGACACATTTTCCCCACAAATACAACATGCAAATGTTGTTAGCACAAGTCTATGGCATTTTACATGGTATAAATTAGCTTAGCGGTCAGCAAACTTTTCCTCTTTTCATATGAAGGCAGGGACAACAGCAACATTTAACAAAGGTTACATTACAAAACTTGACTCTATTACAACTCACAAGGTTTACCAACAAAACAACCGCCATACTAAACACGTTTTCCAAACAAATAATGTAATGTTATTAGCACTAGCCTATGGCATTTTAGATTGTATAGCCTAAATTGGGTCCATGTCATTGGTTCGACATCCCATTAGTCCGACTGTCCGCGGCGCTGAACGGCTCGCGGCGGGCGTATGGTGCACCGCGACCAGCTTGAGGCGGAGCAGGCTCACGGCTTATGTAATTGTCACTTTCTTTTTCATTTTAACCCACACCATGATCTTTTCCTGACCCTAACCAAGTGGTTTTTGTGCCTAAACCTAACCAGACCTTAACCACAGGGCATCATGATGATTTCGGAACGGACTTCGGAACAATGAGTCGAACCAATGGGCAGTTCCCGCCTAAATTAGCCTAGCGGTCAGCAAACTTTCTCTCTTCTCATATGAAGCAAAGGACAACAGCAACATTTAACAAAGGTAACGTTACAAAATTCGACTGTATTACAACTCACAAGGTTCACATAGAAAACAAATGTCTTATACTAAACACATTTTACAAACAAATATAACATGCTAACGTTATTAGCGCAAGCCTGTGGCATTTTACATTGTATAAATTAGCCTAGCAACAAGCGGAGATTTCTTTTTCTCATATGAAACCGGGGACAAGAGCAATATTTAACAAATGTCATGTTACAAAATTCGACTGTATTACAACTCATAAGGTACACTTACAAGACAACTGTCTCATACTAAATACATTTTCCAAACAAATATAACATGCTAACGTTATTAACGCCAACCTATGACATTTAACATTGAGGAAATTAGCCTAGCGACAAGCAGAGATTTCCTCTGCTCATATGAAGCCAGGATAAACTACACACAAGACTCAAAATGCTATTTTTGTGGAGGCTTTTTTTTAATCTTCATAATACTGTTTCTTAATACTGAGGGAAATGGTTTTAGTGTACAGAAATAAACAGTAGGTCTGCCTCCTGCAACCTGTAGTTACATTTCTGGGGAGGTGCACGTCAGGCTACGGTGTAGGTCACACATATATATAGGCTACAACATACTCTTGAATATTAACTACCATGTCTGCCAATATAAGCCCCTAAATCCTTCTCACACCCTTTAACCAGCATGTTCAAATATGTGAATGTGCCACTATTCACTTTATCTTTTATTTTGAAGGCAGCAGCCCTCATGTTCCGGTGTCGCTCTTTCTCTCTGCGGCTGACTTCACGCCTCTCGGTGGTACAAACGCTCACAGCCGCTCCTGCACTCCGCAAGTGTCGGCTGTGGACCGGTGGAAGGCTGCAGGGACAGGACCGCAGCACCGGGACAAAAACAAAAACTCCACGCAGCATGGACCGAAACAACGACTGCTGGAGATAGAGGTAAGTTGGCCGGGTGAGACTGCATGTTAACACTGTACACTACAGATACAGCCTGCCGATAGATATAATGTACAAACATAATTATCACTACATCTGAATAGTTCGCCTGTGGTGAGTTTACGGTCATCACTCTCATCCTGCTCAATGTTAACTTTCAGTTCACTGTATTTCTGGGATGCATCCAGCTACTTTTCCTGAACAATCCTTTTAAAAAGAACAGCATCAGTTGTAATTAAATCAAGTCATATTTCCCATAAAGCGCTTTATGGACACGCTTGAAAGCAGACACTGCCAAATATGAATGCAATTGTGAGTATAACTTGCATTAATGGGCTTTTAAGTGCTCGCTTGTTTTTTTTGTGAGCGAGCTTTCATTAATCCATTGAGGCAAAATGGGAAATATGTTTTAAGACCAGCCAGGTTATTAGGTCACTTGAAAGCAAAATCACATGGATGAATTAAAAAACGAAACAAAAACACAAAAACGCTCACCATAATTTCTGGTGGGAAGACCCAGATAATGAAATTACATGCACTCAGTGAAAGTGCGTGCTTTTTCCCCCTCTCGTTCTCACACACACACGGACACACATACACTCACACATATGCACACAGCATACTGAGGGAGCTGGAGGTTTCATCAGGGAAATGGTTCTAATCCTGCTTAGTGCACTCACCAACAGGCACCTAGCACCCTGAAATATTTGGTTTGCAAGCTGGCAGAGTTGTTTTTCTCATATTGGAAGAATGAAACTGGAGATTATGTAGGATTTGAGGTTGTTTAGCAAGCAGAGAAGAGACTCAGGAGAGCGTACACATACTAGCATGCTCAGGGTAAATGACTGCATGTGCCTTCACCCTATAGGAGTGATTAGCTGGAAAAAATTGATGTGATACTTGATGACATATATGTGCTTCCTGTGCCTGGAAGATAAAGTTGCCCTCTTTTATTAGATGCTCAATACATGTCTGTGTGTGTGTCCTACATGTGTGTTTGTCTGAGAGTGTGTGTGTGTGTGTGTGTGTGTGTGTGTGTGTGTGTTCGTGTTCTCACTTTGTGTTGCCGTGCAGACTGCATGTACTCTCATGTTTCACAGATCAGATAACAGGAATCTTGCAGGACTTTTTAATGGTGCTGATGTAACGTCCCTGCAGCGTATTGACAAATTACCTCTGATGATATTACAGTTGCCCTTGCTCAGTTAGATAATGCTGGTTTATAAAAATCGATTAAATTGAATGGAGAGCTTATGGATGGCACTGAAGGGTTTATTGCCTCTAGGGCTGGCTGTATGTTTCACTAAAATCAGTATAAATGATCTGAGGGTGCAGAGGGTGGAGCTGGTTCAGTACTGCCATAAACAGTACCTGTTATAACTGCTAAAACCACAGGCTATACACCTTTGCATGCAAAGACACCACAGCTGAGTAATACCACAGCTTGGCCTGGTAATAATGTCTGTGTGGCGGTTAACTGTCCAGAGAGAAGGGGGAAGTAATGAGCTCTGGCTCCGACTGAACTTGGCTCGCACTTGGTGAACGTCTTTCACAACTCATTTGCCAAACACTTCCGAAGCAAAATGTTGCAGGAGTGAGAAGAATATTGCAAAGGTGACAATGTGCAATTATAACGCTGTGTTGCAAGTGAATGGCTGAAAATGAACAGATGTGATGTGTGGACACACTGGGTCTCATTTATTTCGTGTCAACCTCAATTTGTTTGCTCAGTCGGCGTCTCTATTATCAGCTACTTTCATACATTCCCACTTGTAAAATCACTGTCAGCAACTGCGGAGCATGTGACACAGGGAGCGTCTTACTATGCAAACTAAGATTTATTATATTCCACCATAATTGCACGGAGATGAGCTGTGCCCTATCAGAATTGTGTTGTGGTTTTTCATTGTGTTTTACTAAACGAGGGAGTGCCCACTAATTTCCCCTCTCTGTACAGACACTGTATATAGCACATTGTAGAATGGGTGGTGGCTGTTGTTGTCTTATTGGTTTATGGAGGAGATTAATCAGTTTTTCTTGACTCCTACGGACACAAGAATCAATGTTTGTGTTTCCTAGTGTTCATTTTGGAGAGAAATTAGGGTAACTGTTTATGATGGCTGACACATACTTCTTCTGTCTTTATCACATTTTCATATTCTTGATAAGGGACCGACAGATACTGCAATTTAAAGCATCACATACAGTATCCAGTGATATATCTGTAATAAGCTTAAAACCAACTAACATATAACATAAACATTTTTCATAAAAATTCCTTAAAGATTAGAGTGAAATGAAAAGTTCAGTGTCCAGTGTTCACCCAGTGGGCCCCCGTCGTTGTTAGATGTTGATATTTGGAGTTTAGGTTGTGACATAGAATGACCAAAATTCAATTTTAGAACGTCTAATGCCAGCGTGCATTTTGACGTAGAATACTGACAACAGGTAACTTTGATATTTTGTTGGTTTTAAGTTGTGTTGTTAAGTAAAACATCTCATGCCAAGGTCATCTTGATGTAGAATAAGGACATTTAGTCATGAGGTATGGAGGAAAAAAACCCAATGTCTGCAGAAAAGTCATAACACCACACAGCATCAAATTCTACTTTCGTTCGTTTTAAAACATCCTCAACCTGACTTTCATTCCAACATAAATTCAACGTGTCCAACGCAAGAGTCAACGTCTATCTGACATTATATTGCCGTCCAGTGCCAGCTATATATAGCTGCTCATATATTTTTGAGGATTTTTATATCAAAATCTTTCCATTTTGTCTTCCTGTGAAACAAAAACCAAGTGTGATTTGCACCACAGATTGACCTGCGATTTATATTTTTGACCTTATTTTTTATCTATGTATTCTACTGTATATTCTCTGCTGTTGCAATGACCCATTTTTCCCATGGGGCCCATTAAAGTTTCATCTGATACCATCTAACCTAACTGTGAAGAAATGGGAACACTTTGAGGACCAACTGAGAGAGAGGGAGAGAGGGGAGAAGGAGGAGGAGGAAGACGATGAGGAGGATGAGGAGGGGCGGGTGGTGAATGTTAACACGGACCGCTTGTAGTGAAGCAGAGGAGTGTAATGTGGGGTTTTTTTTAAGGGCCCTCCAGATGGCACGTCGACAGGAAGGTTCCGGGGAAACCGGCCCCTAATGAATGGGAGGGAGAATCACCTGAGGGGACAAGAGACATCAAAGAAACCTTTCTCTGCTCCCTCTCTCCTTCTTTCTCCTCCCACAAACTCACTTTATACTGACTTCTTCATTTTCTCCTCTCACACCATGTATCTGATCTACCCACTTAATAGTTCCCCCAAGTAATCAGTGGGCATAGCTCACACCAGCCTGCTTTTTTCTCCACTCATTTTAAAATTTATCTTAATTAATCTCTCCTCTCTTCTCCTCTCCTCTCCTCTCCTCTCCTAAGGACATTCCTCATTCTTACAGTGAGATAGCCGCAGGGCAGGTTCAGACAGAGCTGTCTGAGCCCTGACATTCACTGAGGCCAACACGCACATAAACGCGTTAACATCCTTGACCTGTAACAAATACACAACCCACCAGAGGCTGTAGGAAGACAGGATAGAGAGACACAGGCAGGCAGTGTGGAGCATGCACGGTTTTGTGGTTTATCAGGATGTTTGTAATGATAGCAGACACCACTTACTTAGAGAGAGTGGATGGGGATGGGAGGACAGGGCTGTTTAAAAGATTAATGCATCCATGCACTCTCATATAAACATGTGTGCATGTTTGAGTGTTGGATGAGAAACAGTGAGTTAAAAGGGAAGGGAATTGCTAAAGGGCTGTAACGGTGGTTTTGAATGTTTAAGTCTGTTACATGTTAGGCTCATCATTTTGAAAACCACTGCAATTAAGAAAACTGAATGTACTTTGTGTTAGGCGTCCACTGGTTTCCCTTTTTGCCGTGCAATATAAACATCTCTTAGCAGTTTCTCAAAACTTTCTTTAGTTGTGTCATTTCAACATCAAGTCGGCATTAATTCTTGTCAAAATGACATCATTGTGAGGTAACGTGCAGACTGTTCAAATCAGTCAACTCTTAAAGGGGAACTCCTTAAATTTTACGCATCAAGATTAGTTTACTTGTCACTGTTGAGGACTCCTCAGCCTGTGGAAACAGTTGTATCATGTCTCTGGGGGATCCGTCTATGATGACGTCATCAGTGGTTATATCAGCATGGATTTAAAGGCTAAACATTTAAAACAAAAAGCCTGTGTTACAATCTGGTGGGCATGGAGTTTGAAAGGCCTGCAGTGCATATCAGTCAAGGACGGTCTAACAAAGAAACGTTATGTGTTTTTGGAGCTCAAAAGCTTTTAATTACTGATAGTTAGGATCTCGTAATTCATACAATAACTGACTGCCCTTACCAACTACTGTGAACCTACTGTGAAGGTACTGATTTAAAGTTCAGTATTGTATTTCTCTCATTACATATACCGCCGCAACATTAGACAGATTTATAGTGCATGATCAAGCCAAATCATGGTTTAATTATTTCTTTCATTCACACTGTGATATGAAGTCCACCTCAGTTCATTACTTTAAGGGATACATTGCTGATTTTCAAGCAGATTTGTATCAGAACAGTGTGGGTAGTTTGTGCAAATAAAATGTGGTAAACCTTCCTTCAACTTCCCAGCTTCCAGATCTGTCTGCTCATCTCTGCAGTTTGTGTCATCCAGCGAATTTTTACTGGCTCTACAACTGTTGCTCAAACTACAGATTTTGTTTCCGCATTTTTATGTGCTTATCACCATGGACACAGACAGTACAGAGGCATATCAAACTCATATTTTCGTGCTCTGTTTTGCTGTAATACGAGAATTTGTGAACAAGAAGTGGCACCATACTGTTTCCTGTTTTGCTAAAACAGTCGCTGAAAAAACTGAGATCGAAAAGTACAGCTAAGCAGTGCTTATAAAATATGAATCAAGATTCTGTTACTGCATTGCCTGTTTCTCCCCTC